ACAAATAAACAAACAGCACTTTATTGACGAACGTGTACTCTACGTCTTTTTAACTCTTTGTCATGTATTACCGACATGGTTCATGAGAAAAAGGACAATGCACCATTTTTAATATGAGATTTATTGAACTATATATTATATTAAGTGTTAGTTATAGATTGTTTCAAACTGACATATTATTCTTGAATGTTATCAAGTATAATTGATATGTTTAAGATGTTGTCTTAATCATACTCTAAATCATTCTTTCAGCTATACATTTTACTAATCTTTTATCTGTGAGACCAAAAGTTTTGTAATATCAATAATATGAAATTTTATAAGACAAAAAGAAAAAAATCAATCGCCGTTACAATTTAACTAAATACATGTATAAGTATATACGATGGGAAAATTCACTTAAAAAACTTGGACTAAATCGGAATTATTTGTTTTAATCAAGCAAACTGGCCTGCAATTGATCATCAGTTTAAATGTGAAAAAAATACTTTCAGTTGCTTATATAACGCTTAACAATATTCTTCTATCATTTAACGTTTGTTCTCGTCGTTATAGACAATACAAGTACAAACTTGCAAGTCTCCTGCGAGTTCTGAATGATACAAAACTCTCCATAATTCTGTTCTGTATCGCCAAACACTTCAAACATCTAAATAAAGTATAATGTCTATGATGATGAAGTTATTATAATTATCATTATGTTATCTTTACGGTTTTATGATTTATAATACCTTAGTATAATATTTGTTTGTTTATGCTTGAAGACTTCAAAAATTATTTTGTTCACACAATTATTCGTACCTGTAGAGTATGGGTCATTGCAAATATGATATATTGAATTTATGATTTATCACACTTTTCAAGCATATGATTTGAGTAGTAAATCGTAACGAAGTATAGGTTATATTTTGGCATGCATCCATTAGAAATTTATAAACACGTGATGCGTTTAGAATATCTGAGAGTAATTATGCATTTCTAAATATTACTGAGTAATTGTGCTATATATTTGGCTCCATCGATCATCTTTCATCATCATAACCAGGATGTGCGACCGGTGACCTAGTACATTCTTTTATAATCAAGCATTTATGCTTTGGTGTATTGCTCCAGCAATTTCTCAATTTATACAAAAGGTTCGTGTGATTGTGGTTGCCTAAAGCCCACTAAAGCGTAAGGTCTTAGATCAATTGTAAAGGTAAATATAATACCAAGTAGACTACGATTAAGCAAACTACAGACTTTCAATGTGTTACATTGTAGTTGGTAAAGAGTATTTTTATATGAAAGACAGTCTAAAAACAGGCTTTGTTCATCCCTGTTGATCGCGGCAGACATGTATGTAAAAGAACATCCAAATATACATATTGTCCCAAATCAGTGTTTTACACAAGTTTTGTCTTCAATGTGTATATTGATAGAATCACGAGTTATGATAGATACAAAATTTGCAATTTTAATCGACATTGAGTAGTCAGTCAGGTTTGGAAAAGAAAAAACTTAGATTAGGTTCTAAATTAGATGTTCTCTCAAATATTTGGTTTATGAAGAAAACTACATATTTTCCATTTCCTATGTGATCCCCTCATACTTCTGACTCAGGTGGCAGGAAAACTGGAATACAGAAAGTCTGTACGTGTCATTAACCAAACTCAAAATGTAAGACCCTACATTGTGCTTTCTCGAAGTTTAAAAGTGTTTAATGATATGAAAATGAAGAAGTCTACAAAATGTCTGTAAGTCTATAGTATCACTCCATCAGCATATCACGTGATCATTTTCAGAGGAGCACAATGTCCGGTTGCCGACTATATGAAATGTTGGCGGGAAACTGTTACGGTCACAGTTTCGCCAATATGTCAGTTTATACGAAACACTGGTTTTAATCTAGTTTGTTTGTTTGTTTTGTTTGTTTGTTTGTTTGTTTGTTTGTTTGTTTGTTTCATTTTATGTCTTTTCCCAACAGTATTTCAGTCATATAGCGGGTAGTTTCCTTACCATCGTTCCTGGAGAGTTACACCAGTACTAGACTACCTTCCTCCGTGCTAAACTACCAAAGCATCTCCCGGGGATAGAACCCACACCAAAGAGGTAACTGGATTAGAAATCATCGACTCTAACCCCTCGGCCACGAAGGCGGTAGAACATTAATTAACCAACAATATTTTAGAAAGTTTCTGCCAACATTCAATGTATAGCAAAAGTGAATAAAGTACAAACTTTCATCAAGTTATAAAAAATTTATTTTTTATCTATCAGATTTAGCAGGAAGATAAACACTGAAATATTACCATGTTAAAACATACCATCTGTATACAGGTTTTAAATTAATATAAAATTGTTCAGAGTATCAATGAATTTTCATATTATATCTGATAACTAGTACTTAATACATTAATACTAGTAATTATTATATTGGTGGTTCTTTCCTCCTACTAACTAGTACGCTATATAATGATTGTCATACGCATCGCTAGTGTAGATTTGACAATACTAAGCATGTATTTAAAGAAAAAGCAGCATAAAAAGAAAGGTATTAGCAACATTCGAGGTAAAAGATGAATTTAGAGCTCATATAATCTATTGTAAATATCTTTGATTTGCTGTTGTTGTTGTGTTTTTTTTGGTGGTTTTTGGAGTTTTTTTTTTTTTTTTATTTCATTTTATTTTATTTATTTTAGTTATTTTTTATTTATTTTTTTTTTCATTTTTTTTGGGGGGGGGGGGTTGTTGTTTTTTACAAAATACAACAAACATAGAAATATTTAGATATACACGGCATGAAAAGAGTAAAATGACAATAATGACGTTGATATTTAGAAGAAAAATAGTTCTCAAAACGAGTATATCAAAGTCGAGATTCCTTTATTTTTGTAAAAAGAAATATCAATAAAATGAAACATAAAATAAGCATATAAATTATACAAGAGGGCCATGATGGCCCTGAAGTCGCTCACCTGTATATAGGCCCCCAGGGCGGGGCCAGTTTAAACCCCAGGGCTTTTATTTGAACAAACTTGGTAGTCACCCATTAGAAGATATTTCACGCTAAACATGCTAAGGACTAGCTCGTTGAGTTTTTAAAAAAAAGATTTTTTAAGTTTTAACTATACACATATAGTTAAAAGCAATGACACCCCTAGGGCGGGGCCAGTTTTGACCCCAGGGCTTTTATTTGAACAAACTTTTGAGACACTTACTAGAAGATGTCTCATGCTTGATATCTAAACTCTAGCTATTCTGTTTTTTTTTTAAAGAAGATTTTTAAGTTTTTGCTATACACATATAAGGAAAATCAATGTCCCCCAGGGCAGGGCCAATTTTGACCCTAACGCTTTATTTGAACAAACTTTGAAGACACTAACTGGAAGATGTTTCATGATAAATATCTTAACTCTAGCTATTTGGGTTTTTTCAAAGAAGATTTTATAAGTTTTTGCTTTACACATAAATAAAATCAATGATCCCCGGGGCAGGGCCCATTTTGACCTAAGGGCTTTTATTTGAAAAAACTTTGTAGACACTCACTTGAAGATGTTTCATGCTTAGTATCTAAACTCTAGCTATTTGGTTTTTTTCAAAGAATTTTTAATTTAAAGTTTTGCTTTACACATATATGGAAAATCAATGACCCCCTGGAGCAGGGCAAATTTTGACACCAGGGCTCTTATTTGAACAAATTTGGTAGACACCCATTAGAACATGGTTCATGCTAAATATCTTAGCTCTAGCTCTTTGGGTTCTTTAAAAGAAGATTTTATAAGTTTTTACTATATGCATTTAGGGAAAATCAATGATCCCCTGGGGCGGGGCCAATTTTGACCCAAGGGCTTTTATTTGAACAAACTATATAGACACCTATTAGAAGATGTTTCATGCTAAATATCTTAGCTCTAGCTCTTTGGGTTCTTTAAAAGAAGCTTTTATAAGTTTTCACTATATGCATATAGGGAAAATCAATGACCCCGGGGCGGGGCCAATTTTGACCCTAGGGCTTTTATTTGAACAAACTTTGTAGACACTCATTAGAACATGTTTCGTGCTAAATATCTTAGCTTTAGCTATTTGGGTACTTTAAAAGAATATTTTTAAGTTTTTACTATATGCATATAGGGAAAATCAATGATCCCCAGGGGCGGGGCCAATTTTGACCCCAGGGCTTTTATTTGAACAAACTTGGTAGACACTCACTAGAAGATGTTTCATGCTAAATATCTTAGCTCTAGCTCTTTGGGTTCTTTAAAAGAAGCTTTTATAAGTTTTCACTATATGCATATAGGGAAAATCAATGACCCCGGGGCGGGGCCAATTTTGACCCTAGGGCTTTTATTTGAACAAACTTGGTAGACACTCATTAGAACATGTTTCATGCTAAATATCTTAGCTTTAGCTATTTGGGTTCTTTAAAAGAATATTTTTAAGTTTTTACTATATGCATATAGGGAAAATCAATGACCCCCTGGGGCGGGGCCAATTTTGACCCCAGGGCTTTTATTTGAACAAACTTGATAGACACCTATTAGAAGATGTTTCATGCTAAATATCTTAGCTCTAGCTCTTTGGGTTCTTTAAAAGAAGATTTTATAAGTTTTTACTATATGCATATAGGCAAAATCAATGACTCCCCGGAGCGGGGCCAATTTTGAACCCAGGGCTTTTATTTGAACACACTTGGTAGACACTTATTAGAACATGTTTCATGCTAAATATCTTAACTCTAACTCTTTTGGTTCTTTAAAAGAAAATTTTTTAAGTTTTTACTATATGCATATAGGGAAAATCAATGACCCCCTGGGGCGGGGCTAATTTTGACCCCAGGGCTTTTATTTGAACAAACTTGGTAGACACCTATAAGAACATGTTTGATGCTCAATATCTTAGCCATAGCTCTTTGAGTTCTTTAAAAGAAGATTTTTAAAGTTTTTACTATATGCATATAGGGAAAATCAATAACCCCCCGGGGCGGGGCCAATTTTGACCCAAGGGCTTTTATTTGGACAAACTTGGTAGACACTCACTAGAAGATGTTTCATGCCAAATATCTAAGCTCTATCTCTTATGGTTTTTTAAAAGAAGATATTTAAAGTTTTTTCTTTCGGTTTCCATGGCAACCAGAGCTCTGCATGGAATTAAATTCTTTGAACAATTTTTAAAGGTGACCACCAAAGGAACATTCTTGTGAAGTTTGGATGAAATTGGCTTAGTGGTTTATGAGGAGATGTCATTTAAAGTAAAAGTTTACGGACGGACGGACGGACGACGGACGGACGACGGACGGACGCCGGACGAAAAGCGATCACAAAAGCTCACCCTGTCACTTTGTGACAGGTGAGCTAATAAAAACGTGGTAATAAAAAAGAGATGTCTATTTATATAATCATTATAATAACAAATATATACAAAACATGTTATCACAAAATATATCATGTAAGGATAAAGCTATTTAGTGTAAATGTCAATAAAATTTAAAAGGGACAACACTGAGGTATTTGGCATGACGAAACCATAAATCGTTTTTCGAGATTAATGTCCCATTTGATGTAGGTCTAGACAAATAACTTTTGGTGCGAAATTTCAGATCATTTCAGAAAAAAAATCTAATTGTGAAAAATGATAAGAATCGGGATAAGAATAGCACCAAAAAAACAACATTAAATGTATTTCTGAGTATAGTTCTATTTACTATTTTTTGCATATCGTTCAGTGTCTCAGCTTATCTATGTAAAGAATTCAAAGTTCATATTTTCAGGCTTTGGGCCTCAGTGGAGTTCCTTTAATATGGTATCGTAAATGAGTTAATATAAAAATGTATCTTTTTAAAGCAAAGATAAGTACCATTTGTATTCAAAAATAGTGTAAATAAGAAAATTTGATACAATTGAAATGAAACCTTTAAGAACGCCAAAACCCGCAAAATTGAAAAGGATGTGCCTCGCTTGACATGGACGGCAGTAATAAATGCAATGTACCGTCCACTCCAAAGTGATAAGCGATAACTTTAAAGATATACCATGCTCAAATTTGATATTTGAAAATATTGATAAATGCTACACGGTCTCTTTGCAAATATAGAATAAACATGTTTTGACTTCACACGAAGTAGATATGTTATGTTTTAAATCTTCACACTTTTTAAATTAATGAATATATAGTCTCATTAAAAAACACCTTGTAGTTGTTTTTTTTAAGAAATATTCAGTACGAATTTTATGGATTTCAATGAATTTCTGCAGTTAAACTATTTTACTCAAAGATGAGCGTAATATATACTTAATTATCTGCCACATGATATGAAGTTCTGCAAAACTTCTACTTAAACATAACGATGACATATTGCAAAAAGACAGACTGTAAAATTTGTATAACGACAAAATATATGAATATATATAAAAGTTGTATATATATATACATTTGAATAGCAATCAATGATAGACTATATTGTCAGCAAAATAAATGGCATGACGGCTCAAACACTTGTGTCTTGACAGTACGTGGAATTGAGGTGACTTGCATCTTTCAGAGCATTTTGGTCATTTCTTTAACTTTCTGCAAAAAGAACAACAAAAAAACACTTAGGATGTAGTCCTCATGGTCCTGGTTAGAAACAATAATTACACAGGTAAAGTAGATATATATGGTACAAAACCTAAAATGATTTCGAATGTTTAGTGTAACATGTCCTCAAGCACTATTATGATACATAAATATTAGGGACATTCAAATAGAGAAATAAGCAACCCCAAAGAACGTGCATAACAGTAAAATTTAAAATGTTACAGGCTCGGTTTGATTAAGTCTGTTTATCGATGGAAATTGCAAGCTATCCCCTATGCCCCCTAGCACCGGCTTAAGCAGAATTCAAGAATTCAACGTTAAACATTGTGGATTATCTTGATTGTTTATCATCATCGGTAAATATTAATGTCATGTTTACGAAATGTATACTATGGGTTTCCGCCCGTGAGAAAAGCGATACACAACATAACGGAAATAAATGACTAAGTATTAGAGAAGTATTAAACAAAATAGTAATTAAAATTCAATCATGACTTAAAAAAATGTTACTTGACAATGTACATATCAGTAAACGGTACTGCGTTTCAAGGGAACATTTATGACAAATAACTATACGTTTAAAGTCACTTATTCTACTTAAATTATGTTATTTATAGAAGATGTGACCCACTGGTTAAGGTAGTATTCTCTCAGTAAAGGGATCACTGGTTCGAGCCCACCTCCAGCACCCCCCCCCACACACACACTGATACCGAATCAAATTTCCTGTCAAATTTCCCAAGACCGGTCAGCCTAGGTTGCAGATAGAGGCTCTTTACAAATCAGCTAAAATAAATATGTTTTATTCTATTTATTTGTTATATCCTTAACCAGCACTGATTTGAGAAGAAATCAAGTGGGCATTAGTTGAGTCATTGGCAAAGAATATAACTTACCCCTGGTGGGCCTATTAAACATCCAAGACATCCGCACATACTCGTGCTGCTAGTTTCATGGTAACCTTGTCGTTCATATAGCGAGATTGCTCGATTTGTAGTTAAAACCCACAAATATATTGACTGAAATGTAAACAGTTGTAACATTTGTTCGTAGTTTCTTACATATTATCAGAAAATCCATTATAATGTACACCGTACAACGGTCGGCTTTCTGTTATAAAGATGTTTTGTTTGTCTGTTTGTCTCGCGAGCAGACAACTTTCTACTTTTATCTTACCGGTAATTCCATCTTTATGCGTATACATGTATATGTTTGTAACCAGTCACTTAAGCCTTTCAGCCAATAATTAATATCTCTTGTAACTACTTAACTTTTGAAATATATTTTGGCACTGCGAATAAAGGGGTGAAATAAAAGTTAAAATTCATACGCGTTTTCCTTTAAGTTCTTACTTAGCTGTCATATTATGTAATCGGACAATGCGAAACAGTAAGAAAAGGTTTTGGACTTTAAAAATGTAGCAATTTCATTGGCTCCTTACAGTTATGACAGGTATTATCCGATTAAGTTGTTTCATTCTTAACATATAAATGTGTTTAATCTACAAATGCATTCCGGGTCAGCAAGTTTCTTGAAACGATGCTATCTAAAGCGGGGGTCGTTATTGGTTGCTTTCTCCCAGTTAACTTCTTTAATTTCATACAGTCTTCCCTTAAATTTCAGTGAACTCCTGTGCAAAAATACCATGTTATTTTCCCAACAATGTTCACGAAGACCCCTTCATCAACTTGTGAAAAAGCCCCTTTTAAACAAAAATGTCATGGTAAAGAATCGAATACTATCAATTTAGGTAACATTCTTCCAATTATCACAATATGCATGACAAAAAAAATCTAAAATTTGAAAAGGATATAATCTCAGAAACATTTTTATTAAGATAATTTCTATGATATATATTTTTATGAAAATGAGAATATTGTCTAGTAATTAAATCATGGTATTTAATAAAAGCTTTAGTTTAGTCCTTGAATAAGAAGTTGCAGTAACAAAAATTGACTTATTTACACAGAAACACTGACGCTGACAATATCAAATGCATGTGTTAATAAACTTACTGTACAATTTCTCAACCTCGCTTCGTATTCTGCCCTCTGCATCAAAACCTTACCGACACCTTTCCCTCGTGCCATTTCGTCTACACATATATGATCCAAATAACATTTGAGACGATCATTCACAGATTCATCCAAGGTTGATCCAAAGCAAGCATACCTTTACAACGTTTTATAAAGAGCAAATAAAACATGAAACGACACATTGCTACCAACAGCATTTAAGCAAATACTAGTACACCAATTATTGTCGTTGTTTTATTTTGTGTAATTTTGTTGTTTGTTTGTTGTTGTTGATGTTGTTTTTTGTTTTTTTGTTTTTTCAAATTAAATCAAGATTTTTGTTACAAACTACCTTCTAATTCAAATACGAAAGAAAAGTCAACAATGGAAAGAAGCGTGTAAGAAACGCTATAAACAGGAACTGCAAACTTGTAAGATGAGAAAAAATAATATTTCAACAACAAATAACATTATTTTGGGAAAAAAACTGTTGAAGTAAAGAACTCCAGTAAAGAGTAAAATGCTACAAATTTCACTTATATTTATCAATTTCAATTAATACTTTGTAAACTACTATATCAGATCTGTTGAACTTTTGCGTTTTAATATTGGTTCATGTGATACAGACACGTTGTTCAAAAAAAAGAGAGAATTACTATGCGACTTCAAAAAGACATACCTACAACCATGCCAGCATCCAAGTTCCGATATATGGTCATCTTTTCTGCGTGGAAATACAAAAGCCAAAGTATATTAAACAAGTGTTTTGTATGTTAATCAGTTTACAGTCAAACCTGCGAATAAAGGCTATTCAAAGGAGAGACCATGCATGACCTTTAAAGACAAGTGGTATTTCAGTTGTATTTTAATCAAAAGTGGTCTTTAATTACAGGATGGTATTTATTCGGAGATAATCCTTCACGCAGGTTTGACTGTACATATAATAGGTCAATTGCTAGACTGAATGAAAACATATGAGCTGCGTCACGACAAAACCAACATAGTGGCTTTGCGACCAGCATGGATCCAGACCAGCCTGCGCATCCGCGCAGTCTGATCAGGATCCATGCTGTTCGCTATCAGTTTATCTACTTGCAATAGAGTTGGTAAGCGAACAGCATGGTTCCTGATCAGACTGCGCGGATGCGCAGGCTGGTCTGGATCCATGCTGGTTGCAAACCCATTATGTTGGTTTTGTGGTGACGCGGCTCAAATTTAGTCATATATGGTTAGGTTTGTTTAAAATAATTTGGAAAAGAGAATCTCCTTCTCAATAAAAGTGAAACTCAAGGTCAAAGAACCTGAAAATTGAAGACTCGGATCTCTATTAATTAAGGGATAACGAAATGTGCAGCATCACAAACACCCATCCATGAACTAAATACACTGTTATATTTGCATTTTAACCTTCTTCGTTTGGTACTCAACAGTATAAAGAACAAGCATTCTGTGATTTGTAATCTCGTTGCTGGTTAAATGGCAGATGATTATTTTGTTAGTCAACTAGTATTTCTGTATAATTATATAATACATGCGTATTAAAACGCTGAGACTCTTATAACAAAACCATGATATTTTTCTTATTCTTATTAAAGAATATGACAACAATGTGTTTGTATCCAGCTAGCTTACGGAACGTCGGTGGTTCTGCTCAGTTGCTCGTTCGTATCTGAAATAATGCACGGAATGGTACCTGAGGTCTTCCTTCACCAGTAAAGCTTGAACGTCGTCATATGACCTATACCTAGTCGGTGTGACGTAAATCCCAATCAAACAGACAAACATATACGTATATATCATTTAAGTGTTCAGAACACTCACTCTATTTCCTTGTCACCCTTGAATTTCAACTGCAGTAAACCGACAGGTGTTCCATGTAGTTCAGCTACGAAAGTCCGGTTGTAAAACGCCGGGTTTTGGCCCCTGTGTTGTGCTGTCATGTGTTTTACAGCTATTGGCAGTCTAGCAATTAAATAATTACAGTATAGGTTAAAGTTAACAAGTATGAAAATACATTAATCTTGAGGATATATTTTTAAATATTTTGTAAAACATTAAAAACTTAAGAATACAATATAATTACATCGATGTTGTCCGTGCAATACAAGGAAAACTTGTCTTCAGCTACATGTAATATCTGCGGCCAAATACGTATGGTAGAGCCCCGACCTTTTATTTAAGGCAAACGAACATTTATTATCGGAATCACTTATTGAAAATTCTACTTACATGTATTTCGTAACAGTCTCAAAGCGACACTTAAGGCTAATACTTAAAATAACCCCAGTAATGTCAAAAAAGCCAAGAAACATATAAACGATTTGAATTTTTAACATAGATAAACTATGACAAGAGAAAAAAATATGCAAAACGAAAAACATGTAATAGATCATCAGAATTGAATCTAAAATATCATTTTAATGCTACACCTAACCTGATTTGAATTAAAAAGCAATTGGCTCTTTTTATTTTTGGGTCATTTTGCAAAATAGACAAACATTATTCTGGCAAAAACGGAGTAAATTAATGATTTGAATTTTCGCATACAAGTCCAGACGACCTGCATTTAATGATACACAAGTTTTAAGTAATATTTTCAATCATGTCATGTCAAAAATCTTCAGTGCCACTGTGGGGTTCCTAGCTATGTACTTAATAAAGGATTTTCATATCAATCAATCTAAGGTAGAAAATAAACATTAGAAAATATACATACTTTCTTTCTGTTATATTATGCGCAAATTTACCGCGAAAACCTTCGACGGTTAATCTGCCGGCGAACTCCGCGTCAGCTGGCGTGTCTTGCAACAAACGAACTGAAACCCCATTTTCCGGCACGGAACCAGGAGCCGGACCAAGAGTGTTTCCGGGTTGCGCAATAACTGGTGCATCCGGGTATAGAGCCGACTCCGACAACATTACGACGTATTATTTACCAAATACACTGAAAACAATTTAAAATAGTAACCATTACAAATATAAAATTTGATAAATAAAACTTTCCTATTTAAAGTACATACATGTAGCCAATTGGAGCATTGCAGTGATATGTTCACTTTGAAATTATATGACCTGACTTCTGCATTAGACTGGCATATTGTATGGTCAATAGAAACTATTAAAAACTTTGATATAAAAAAAATCAGTAGATTTCAAATAATGGCAACAGTAGGGATCGAACCACAGATCTATCATAGCAACCACTCAACCGACTGTGCTATTGCAGATGTGACAACGAATGAGACCCCTTTTTTATCAAACGGTACTAAACATTTATTTATTTTTGTTAAACGAAAACTAAAAACTATATTTTCTCAGCTTACAAACATAAATCAATATTGTTGTCCTCTTTGTTATATACCTATTTTTTGTTTTGTGAAGGAATCACAGTGACCTATTTCTTTTATATGTTTACATATTTGATTTGCTCATGTTTTGTATATTATACAAACTGAGTGTTATTGTAAATAAAATTTAAATTTAAATTAATAACTATAAACATTAAACCAGTGTGACTTTTCAAAAAATTAGTTATTGTCTCCATTTTAATTCTCGTAGCTACACGGACAGAACCGAAGTGTGATCGAACATAAATTTAAATGAGTGCTATCATTCATAATTGACAGGTCAATAAAATCAGACTATATAAGTTTGCAATATATGATTGCGTAATCGGAAGTAAAAGGTATTTGCATATTGTATAGGTCTCAGTAAGTTTGGAAATTTGACTAAAGGGTATTCAAAATGGCTTAATATATATGCTTTAAAAACTGAAAGTGGAACGAAATCATGATGTAATTTTTCCCAATATCAAACTTATTTAGTTAATTGTTCACAATGAATGGTTTCAAAAGTAACGCCACGACATGAAACAGTCAATTGAACAAACACAATAGCGGTTATCGATGATTTACGGTGGGTTAAAATCCGGCACAGCTATATACATGTAGTATATAATCATATAACATGTTGATTTAGTGCTTGACCTAGCTACATGCCAATATAAGTGCGACTGATATTGATTGTAATGAAAAGATCAGGGTAAAATATCATATGGAATATTTAGAAAGTAAAATGGCAAAATTAATGTGAAATTAGTTTATGTCAAACATATATGATATGTAATTGTTATTTTAAAGAAAAAACAAAATCTTGAAGATAACGAAACGTATAAACCTATGTGTTCATACATGAAATACATTTTTAAACAAAATCTCGCCATATTCTTCATACACGTATACCCTAAAAGTTACCCGTACATTAACTTCAATTTTGAAAATGATTTAAAGTGTGTCTACAGGTGCTTAACATACTTGATTGGCATAAAAAACACACGTATAGTAAGTACCTCAACACAAAAATACTGCCGAGCTATACTGTAGAATGATGTACGTGTAGATCTATATAATTGTAGAAAACACTTCTGCTAACATCTGAATGTTTATTATTATACATGTTTTTTGTTCATTGACCGTATACTTTGTATACAATCTATAGATTACGAAAATCAAATTATAGATTCGACCAGCAATGTATGACATAGCGTACCTGTACTGTAAAGCATAATGTATAAAATATATTGTACAAATCAGAATTTATCAAAATGGCATAATTCAATCAAGTTTCATCAGTTTGTATTCTTTAGTTTATTAATATTTTATATACTTATATTATAGTTGAAAATTATATTACCTTGGTATTCAAACAATTCCAAATCGTTCGTTAAATATCCTTAAACATTACATGCCATACAGTGTGCTAGATCTTAACACTAGGCGTAAATCGATTTTTCTATTTTTAGCAACATTTATACATGACCAATAAAGAAAACTACTGGAGCGAGAAGGTATGCAATATTCCTTGTACATGTACATTTTAAAGCTACATGCTCCAGATGAGTCAAAATATTTTTTTTTTTTTTTTTTTTTTTTTTTGTAATTAACATTTTATTTCCCATATTGTACAAAACATGTAACAGAAATATTTTTTGGTCAATATAATGTATTGGCAATCAATAAACAGTCAAAACTGTGTCCAAACCACCTAACTAATTATTCATTTTCATGACAAAAGCCACCCTAACTAACCCTACAGTGCTTAACAGATAGAGGATTCTCTTGATAAAGACCTCTTCTTGTCTATAGAGGAAATGTTATATTTCTCCTCTGTAAGACCCTGGTCACAGGTTTGACTGTAATCATGCATCAAAGTACATAGTCAATACAAATTCAATAATCTCAATTGAAGCCAAATTAATAAATACACATACAATAGTTTTAAATGGAGCCATATTAATCAGTACAAATACACTAGGTTCAGATGAAGTCAGATTAATCAGTACACATACACTAGTTTCAAAATGAAGCTATATTTATCAGTATAAAAACAAATATTCTCAAATGAAGCCATATTAATCAGTACAAGTATAATAGTCTCCTATGAAAAACTTTATAATTAGTTCAAATACACAAGTTTCAAGTGAAGCCCTATTAATCAGTCCAAAAAAAACCCCAACAAAACAGTCTCGAAAGAAGCAATATTAATCAGTACCAATATAATGATTTCCCACGAAATTATATTAATCAGTACCAGTACCACATTAATCAGTACAAATACAATACTTTCAATTGAAGCAACATTAATCAGTACACATATAATAATTTTAAATGAAGCAATATTAATCAGTGCAAATACAACTGTTTTGAATGAGACTATATTAATCAGTTCGAATACAATAGTTTCAAATGGAGCCATATCAATCAGCACAAATACAGTAATTTCATATGAAACCATATTAATCAGTACAAATACATTGATTTCAATTGAACCTGTATTAACCATATCATTTGTACATAACTATAATCAATATTGCTTTATTCTGATGCAGTAGAGAGAATTCTATATCAATCGAGGATTTTCATATTATTGTACAGTGATTTTGAGAAGAGGAAAGGAAAAAACCACTCCTTCCTCCCCCTTTAATAATATTTAGAGTTTTACTCTATAGCTTAAAGCAATGTTGTAATGAATGCTTAATTAAATACCATATTTAAATATTGTACCTATGGGATAAATATGCTTTTTAAAGAAAAAGGATATAAAAAATGGAGAAAATAAAAAGGGTTCGGTGAAATCTACTAGAAGGATTTTTATCTCAGATTCAAATCTGAAATTTCAAATAATAGGGAATTTTAGATTTTTTGGTGGTGTCTCCCGGTGCCGCAGCAGTGAAGTGCAAAGTTGTAGAATAATAATACATGACTTAAAACTTCATTAATACACAGAATACACAAACACTTTTCTAAATTTGCTAGGTTTTTGTATTTCTGCCATGATTTCTGAAACAATTCATATGTTTGATTCTGTTTAGCTATGTATTTTTCAACTGTATATCTGGCATATATTTGAGTTTTAAAATTAGCAATAGAAGGCCTTATTTGTTTAACTCTACAATAGTAAATGTAATGTTTTCCATTTAAAATCAAACCATTTAAGACTTTGTCATATTTTGTATTATCAAAAAGAATGTCAGTAACATTCCAATCATCACAAGTAATATTACATTTATCTTTGACATAATTTTGTAATATTCTCCAAAAGTTTTTGACAATTTCACAATCATAGAAAAGATGAATAAGAGTTTCACTCTCAGATTTACAAAAGTGCATATATCGTTATTTACAATGTTCATTTTTTTCAACAAATAATTTGTGGCAAGTATTCTGTGGTTCAGTCTAAACTGGAAACAGATTAATTTTGAATCCTTTGTAAAATTTATATTGGTAATTCATATATTGAATTAAATTGAAACTCTGTTTCTACAGCCTCTGTTAAATCATTTTTCCATTTCAAAAGAGAGTTAGGATATTGTCCGGTTTCAATCATAGTTTTAATAAATCTGTTGGGCAACCTTTTTTATCATGAAGAATTTGCCTAGTGTTTGGGGAATATGTACATTATACTTATATTCCTTAGGTAGATCTCTGGCATGAATTCTTTCTAAAACTCATTCAGTGCTCTAATAATCCCCATATATTCTAGAAAGTTGCTTCTTATGTTATATATTTCATTAAATTCATTGAATGAATAAAATTCACCTGTCTGACTGATTAAATCACCTAAGAATAGGACTCCTCCATTAATCCATCTAGTTAGATGAACACAAGAATTTCGACTTTTATGCCAGGGTTGTACCATAAATTAATAGAGTAAAGTTGGCTTAACTTTCATAGAAAGACTCATATAACTTTTCATTACATCTTTCCAACTTTCCAAAAGGATTTAATATCACAACTTAGTTTTGTTTTTATGAAATCTGTTCCATACTTAAAAATATTATGTATACAAGGCAAAGTACTTTCTACCATCTGACTATATTTATTGTATTATGAACAATACGTCTTAACCAAGTCAATTTTAACTATTCATAAAACAGCTCAATTCTACCATTTTAAGGCCACCGAATTTATAATCTTGAGTAATAATATTTCTTTTAACTTTATCTATACCATCATTCCATAAAATTTGTAAAAAAAACTTTGAATTTTTATTGATTTTTTCAGTAGGTGGATTAGGAATGCTTAAAAAAAGGTGGTTCAATTTGGCCAAGGCCAAAGACTTTATAACTACTAATTTTCCTAATGGAGAGATTAGTCTTTTGGACCATGAAGCAAATAATCTTTTTAATTCCTCAATCTTTAAATCAAAGTTTAAATCTACAATTTGTTTCAGATCTGTTGATAATTTAATACCTAATACTGTAAAAACTTCAGTGTTCCAATCTAGATTGTAGTCAGGACAAAGAACTACTTGGCTATTTCTGTAGGAGCCAAACCAGACTACTTTGGTTTTTTCCATATTAATGTTAAGGCCTGATATCTCTGCATAGAATTTTAAAACTTCCATAGTATTCTTTAATGATTTGGCTGTGCCATCTAAAAATATACTAGTATCATCAGCATACTGTGAAATCTTATACTCTTTCTCATTAATTATAACACCTTTGATATCTTTGTTTTTTCTTATTAATATTGACAGTGCCTCTGCACAAATGATGAACAGGTATGGCGAGTCAAAATATTTCAATAAATATCAAACTTGAGAAAAATGCACTAAGATGTAAGGAAAAGAAAAACGTTTCACGATTCGAGTTATATTTTACAAATTATTAGCGATTAATGGCATATTTTTCAGTATTTACAACTATATTTCTACTGCGTTAATATAACGCAGTAAATGCTATTTATGCATATTTTGACAACATTTTGGTAATTTACGCGGTTTGTAAGTGCCAGTGATAATGTGAAAATTGCTACCTTTTGGTTACTTCACAATATTACACATTCAAATACATTTTCAAAATTGTCATGAAAATTAACCTGAATCTGGAGGCGTGCTGCTTTAATTCCATATCCACGCAGATTAAGCAGATTCCTGTCAACCAGCTTACCAACCATTGTTAAAGACAATATATTTTTAATTACAGTAACTGTTAAAGGCCCATCTAGACCTGTAAGATTCTGTTAATTTTGTTCTCAAAAGCGTTTTAACAACTGGTTCCCTGTTACACATATTCAAAACAATGATAATTAATAATTTGCCATATCCATTCAGCGATCATAGTGTATTATAAAAGATTTGAGCCGCGTCACGACAAAACCAACATAGTGTGTTTGCGACCAGCATGGATCCAGACGTGCAGTCTGATCAGGATCCATGCTGTTCGCTATCAGTTTCTCTACTTGTTACAGGGTTTGTAAGCGAACAGCATGGATCCTGATCAGACCGCGCGGATGGTCGCAAACCCATTATGTTGGTTTTGCCGTGACGCGGCTCATATCATATTTGTTTCCAAATTTCGATGCAGCTCCAGCATTCCTAACATATACATGAGAAAATACAAGATGTTATGTACTCAAAGTTAAGGACTAAATGAAACACCATTTTGGCCATTTAATACATAATCTCAATCAAATTCAACAAATCGAAAACACACGTTTCTGTATTTTAAAAGATGTTAAAGACATATTTATTGGATAAGTACTTCCGCGATTTTTTGTGAGTGTTTGTTTTATACGGCGCATACATAGTAAGTTCCTGTAAGCATGTGTGCTGACCCGTGTTTGTGTTACACACTACTTAAAGCCTCCAGATTCATGCTTATGCACATGAAAATTTAAAAATGTATTTAAAGTAAAATATATATTGTGAAGTGAACAATAATGCTATTGCTAGCGGCTCTTTTTTACAATCCAGGTAAATTAACAAAAAGAGACCCTTGCTGCGTTAGTCACGCAGTAGAATTATGGTGGTAAATACTACAAAATCAGTCATTAGTGGCATATAACTTGTAGAATCCTTTTATTTTTCTTAAAATCGAAGAATATTTTTCTAAATTTCATTTTTGGGAAATATTTTGGCCCATGCTGCTTTAAGTTTGAAAGAACCCCCATTAAGTAACTAAGTAGGAATGACAAAACTAAATAGATATTGCTGAAACGCTTAACGATCTTTTGCGACAATTAAAATGATTTAATATTTTACCAATAATAGAAAAACAAAATACCACTTTATTATCTTTTTGCTTTCATAAAGACAAATCATTTCATATCTTGGGAAAATATAATAAATGAAAGTTTAAAGGCATAGGCTACAGTTACATAAACATAAATTAAGGCAGATTAAAAACTGTATAATAGAATTCGTTTAAACTTCGGATAAACTTAGACCAAAAGCATTTACGTAAATATAACCTCTGGCCTTTACATTGCTTGAACCGAAAAGATTTTGTACTTTTGCTGACTAACTTTTAAAAATGTTT